CATGTTCAGGTGAGTGCAGCCAGCCCCCTGGAATTTAGGAGTCTAGCCAACTCCTTGGTTTTGCACCCCTCCCTGTAACAGGTGCCTCATCCCAGGGCCCTATTTAGCCTTGTACTGCATAGAGCCCCAGATGCACTCCCAGCAGCACCCTATTTATGCATGTTCAGGTGAGTGCAACCAGCCCCCTGGTTTTATATATATATATATATATAGTTACAGTAACAAAATGCAGCATATGGCAAGAAGACAGTAAGATTGAAAGAAAGCACTTGAAAGAAAGTGCATTGACATGCTTTTCTCAACTCATGGCTTACTGTATGAGTTGGTTATTCACATTAAATTTATACTTCTGATCTGTTACATTGTAGTAAACTCAGATTTGTATCATGCTATCTTTGTGGTGTGTTCTGTGAGTAATTTAGGCAACACCACTAAAATCAGCTATTAGGAAAGTGTCACAAAGCATATACACCTCTGTCATTTTTAATATACACATATTGCATACTATACTCAGACAAGTAAGGCAAAGGAATATATTTATCCCATGATGAAATTTAAAAATGAAGGTTAGTACCCATCAATATTATTGGAAGTAATGGTGGGCTTAAACACAATGAGGCTTTATAGTGTGACTACATTTCTATATTTTGTACATAGGATAGCACATTTTAAATAGAATTGACTGATTATTTAAAAGATAGTTAGGTATTATGTGTTCATTTTGCTAATTTTAGACTCAAGCAACACCACAATTGAATGAAGCATGCTCTGAGTATGTCCCCAAATAATCTATTATTTATTTATACTGATTAACCTGAATGATGTGGATTAGAGCAGCAAAGATGCACTCTGACCTGCAGAACTAACAGGGCCGCATATTAAACAGCAAATGAATAAACCACCAGAGACCTGGTGAGCTCTGTCTCATCCCCTTCTCTGTGTCCAGGAGAAAGTGTTTGTGACGGAATGCTGGCACTCCGACTGAGTACCTCTGCCAATCGATGCTCCTAGCGCTTGCTGAGGACTCCAAGCACTCTAACCGACACCATCAGCACTGCAGACCCCACTTCCAGTGATACAGCTGCGCCGGGGTCTCGCCGTTTCCACCCACCCTGGATCCACGACCAGGATCCAGCTCCCAGTGGGTGAACCTCTCCTGAATCCAGAGAGCGTAGCAGGAACAAATCCAGCTATTGCAAGAGCTTACTCTGGGGAGTAAGTGATTATAGCAATCCCCAGAGTGTAGGTATCCCTTCCCCCAAACATGAGCCAAGGCTTCAAGAAAGGTACAAGATGATCTGGTTTTAATGACCACACACTGGCTTTTATGCAAGTCCCCATGCAAGGGGACATCCCACAGGGTGGGACCCAGTATAACCAATCACAGACAATACAAACAAAACACTCCCACAGTGACATCACAATCCCTCCTCTCTATCCTGGAGATAATTGGGAAGTAATCACATTTTCTCCCAGGACAGAGGCAAGACTCCATTAACCACATGGTTACAAAAAGACATAAAATTACACAATGTTACAATTACTATATAAAACATATACATGCAACATATCTCCAGATAGCTTAGATCTGAGTGCACATTATTATTGAATGGCGCTCAGATCACATACATACAATTCAATCGCCATGGAGCCAAAGTCTTTTCCATAGTCTTTTGTTACACAAATAGGCTCCATGGCATAGCTATCTGGGATAGCACTACTACCATACTGAAAGTCCAGAACGCCCCAGCAGAAATACACAAATAAACCTTTCTGCAGGGGAAAATACCGCTATCAGCACATGGGCCATAGTCGGAAGGCAGGAGGCTAGCCAGTAGTCCCCTCCAGGCACAAGTGGCAAAGGGCACTTCGTCACACATCTTCCCTTTGGGGGGAAGACTAGACAGGTACCTGACCTTCTGCCGGTCAGTACCTAGGTTAGTCGGGCAGCCCACCCACAAAGAAAAATATGCAGAGTAACCCCCCCACAATAAATGGTACTGGCCTGTAGGTTCAAGTTTGTAGTGGGACAGCGCAGCACTCTCGGTCTCTCTGGTGCAGCTAGGCAAACTGCTGGTGTTGCTTGGGGGGGCAGAGGCCAGCGGCGCTGTGCCCTGCTGCCAGCTCTTCCACTGGGGTAACCCGTGGTAAGTCAGGCTCTGATACAGGGGAAAAGGGGGGGCAGAGGCTAACAGAGCTCTGCCCAGATGCCAGCTCTTCTGCTGGGAGGGGGTCAGTGGGTATTGCAGGCTAATCCACTGCCCCCAGGACCGGGTTGGGATGTAGCTGGGGAGGGGAAGTTTTGCTTACCTCCTCCTCCTGGCATCCCTGCAGGGTTGTTTGGGGATCTGGATAGCCCCTCCAGCCTCCCTGTAGGACTGGCACAGAGACCGCGGTCCCATCTGTGCCAGTGTGGTTAGGTTTGTCTTCACCCTCTCCCGGTATCTCTGGCTGCTGTTGGAGGGGGAGGCTGGTTGCCCCCACTCCCCAGGACGCTGGTTGCTGTAAGGTGGAGGGATCGACCATCACCTCCTCCTGGAACTCAGGCCGCCGCTGTGGAGAGAGACCAGTTGTCTCCTCTCCCTGTATATTATACTGCCGCTGGGGACCTGGGCTGACTGCCCAGCATCCCTGTAGGGCCGGCAGAGAGACTTCGGTCCCATCTCCGCTTGCCATCTCTGTGTGTCCCCAGGACTATGAGGTCGCCCACCTCCGGCTGCTGTTGGAGAGGGAGGCTGATTGCCTCCCCTCCCCAGGACGCTGGTTGCTGTACGGGGGAGGGATCTACCATCACCTCCTCCTGGAACTCAGGCCGCCGCTGGGGGGAGAGAGACCGGTTGTCTCTTCCCTATGTACGGTGCACTGCCGCTGGGAAGGGAGGTCGCTGCTCTCCTCTCCCTGTAACTCACTCTGTCGCTGGAGACGGGGTCTCAATACCCCCAAACTCCACAGTTGGTACTCGAAGTTCCGTGCTTCTTGGTTCTCAGCACTCAACTGGCGCATCACTTGATGGACCACCTCATCTGAAGGGTTTGGGCCAAACCAGACCAGCAGCGCCTTTACTTCCTTCATGAAATCAGCACCCTCATAGCACTGTGACAGGCGGATTTCCAATTCACTAGCTGCTGTCCCGGGTCTTGCTAGCTCCATGTTGCTGTAGGTAGGGACGCTGCGCAGAGGCTAGCGTTGCCCTCAATTATAAATCCGTAACTCCACACGTTACCGGTGTCTCCGAGCTGCTGGTCCTCGCACTAGGACGCCATCCCGCCGCTGCCACCAAATGTGACGGAACGCTGGTACTCCGACTGAGTACCTCCGCCAATCGATGCTCCTAGCACTTGCTGAGGACTCCAAGCACTCTAACCGACACCATCAGCACTGCAGACCCCACTTCCAGTGATACAGCTGCGCCGGGGTCTCGCCGTTTCCACCCACCCTGGATCCACAACCAGGATCCAGCTCCCAGTGGGTGAACCTCTCCTAAATCCAGAGAGCGTAGCAGGAACAAATCCAGCTATTGCAAGAGCTTACTCTGGGGAGTAAGTGATTATAGCAATCCCCAGAGTGTAGGTATCCCTTCCCCCAAACATGAGCCAAGGCTTCAAGAAAGGTACAAGATGATCTGGTTTTAATGACCACACACTGGCTTTTATGCAAGTCCCCATGCAAGGGGACATCCCACAGGGTGGGACCCAGTATAACCAATCACAGACAATACAAACAAAACACTCCCACAGTGACATCACAATCCCTCCTCTCTATCCTGGAGATAATTGGGAAGTAATCAAATTTTCTCCCAGGACAGAGGCAAGACTCCATTAACCACATGGTTACAAAAAGACATAAAATTACACAATGTTACAATTACTATATAAAACATATACGTGCAACATATCCCCAGCTTAGATCTGAGTGCACATTGTTATTGAATGGCGCTCAGATCACATACATACAATTCAATCGCCATGGAGCCAAAGTCTTTTCCATAGTCTTTTGTTACACAAATAGGCTCCATGGCATAGCTATCTGGGATAGCACTACTACCATACTGAAAGTCCAGAATGCCCCAGCAGAAATACACCAATAAACCTTTCTGCAGGGGAAAATACCGCTATCAGCACATGGGCCATAGTCGGAAGGCAGGAGGCTAGCCAGTAGTCCCCTCCAGGCACAAGTGGCGAAGGGCACTTCGTCACAGTGTTAAAGATAATCAATCAGACGTTGATTGTGGAACCAACAAAAAAAAGCTCTGCATGCCTCTGCTCCTTCTCCCCATTGTATTAATGGTTAAATAAAGTTGAATTAATTGATTGGGGTTCAAGTGCCACATGGGGAAAGGCCTCCCCTGGATCCAGAGGCGTGATCGTCAAGAAGAAAAGACAGTTTTGTAGCCCATGGATCAGCACAGCTAGGGGAGTGGGCCTTGACAGAGCCAGGAGGTAGGCATAACAGCCACAGGAAGTTGTAGTGACAGCTAGCATGCTGGGTGGGGCAGAGCCATAAGGGGAGTATTTATACTGGCCATCTTATGAAGTGGCCATTTTAACTAAACCTAAACTTACCTGTCAGTTGTCTCTCAGGTTTTGGTAGGCCTTTTCTTTCTTTTTCAGATGGATCCAGTTGAAGAATTTCTTGCAGGAGTTCGAGTGGCTGTAAGGGAGCGCGGCATTGCGTGGTTACAGGAGCGGATGGCGGCCCCAGTGCCTTCCGGTGGGCCCGCGGTGGGTTTGGAGCGACGGCCCCCACAATGCCTTAGCCCCGGTTCAGCACCGGCACGAAGGAGGAAGAGGAGCCCTTCCCCAGGAGATGCTTCTGCAGCAGGCGGTTCGGGAGCAGGTGCATTGTCGAGGTGGCGATTGGCGGTATTGGAGCTGGGTCGGAGATGTCGTCCTTGGAGGCCCCTTACAGGCGGTCCGCGTCAGGCAGCGTTGCTGGAGCAGGTCAGGGACGGGAGGCAGCACGTCTGCGTCTCCCAGGCTGGGCTGCGCCCTGTCGGATGGCGGCTGGCGGAAAAAGTCGGGTGCGGAAAAGGGCTGGATCCGGCAATGTGCTGCCAGGCCTGCAACCATCGCTGAAGACGCACCTGCTTTGCGCGGTGAGTCGGCCCTCACGGACCTTGTATCTGATGGGAGTGTGGGGCAGGACGGGGGTGCCCAGGGGCATGGAAGGGAACGGGCCGCGCAGGGTCCAGACGGCAGAGAGGTATCCGGTACGGGCAGCTGCAGTAGAGTCCACAGTCACGGTTAGGGATAAGGTAACGCGGGCAGCGGCTGGTTCAGGCAGTCAGGCAGGGATAAATTGCAGCGCTTCCATGGCCAGAGAGGGGCTGGGCAGGTCTGACAGGCGGGAGAGGAGTTCTGATAGCGGGGATGCGGCCCAGATTAGGCCTGAACAGCGCAGTACGGCCCGCACGGAGTCAGGTGGGAGAGAAGGCATACGGTTGCATGGAGCTGGGCAGGTGGAGGACCGAGACGGGAGGAGTCAGGCTGTCAGGGAGCACAGGGAGCACCACTCTAGAATGCAGGACAGCGGATCACCGGGTGTCCCAGGCCAGGCGATTCTGCGGAAAGGTACCGGGATAGGACCAGGCGCAGCGAAAATAGGCGGTCCATGGCGGATCGGCGCAGCAAAGATAGAACCCCTTCTAAGAGGCATTGCAGCAGGGGGCGTTCGACATCATCTGAGGATAGGACGAGGAGCCGGAACAGGGCATACAGGTCACCCGACAGGAGGTATCGAAAGGATAGGCCTACCCCACATGGCTAGTCGGCCCAGGCAGTCAAGTGTTTTGAGGATATAAACCATGGTCGGGAATGTGGGGAGGCTGGATGGGTGAGGGCTCCTGTGAGCAGACTACCCAGGTTGTCTTCTCCCCGCAGGTCAGCAACTCCTTCTTCGACGGTCCTGAGGCAGGACCAGGCGACTGGATACAGAAGTTATGACGCTACTCCTGAAACTCTCGAGGTGGATGGAAGGACCGTGGCCCCGCGGTCCTCGACAACAGGGGGTCCTGGCGGTGAATCTTCTTCTGCACTACACTCTGGTAATCTCTTGGATAGCTTGAGGTCTTTTCTTAATTCTTGGGCTGGCGCAGATACACAGGAGTCACAATTTAGTCGGGTGTGGGGTCTGCTGCCAAGTGGGAGTGGGGTGGTGGCGACAGTTCCTGTGGCTCAGTGTTCAGGGTGGGACAACAGGCCTTCGCTTGGGTCGGGGACGTCGGCGGCATTTAGCGAGCGGGCGGAGTTGATGGGTGAGATCCCTGAAGCAGCCAGGCAGAATGTACACGTGTCATTCGCTGGGCCTTTGGGCTGTCATCTCAAATCGGAAGTGAAGGAAAACATTTGGCGGGGCGAATTCCTCGAGATTTTCTCGCTCCTTCCTCTGGATGAGTATATTGATCTGAAAGAGAATGATAAGAAAGATGCCAAGAAGGAGGAGGAAGAAAAGAGGCGAAGGTATCGGAAGATACCAAAGTCTTTGGGAACTGGCTTTGGGCATTTTGTATTCTGGATAGTGTCTTAGGGGAAAAGTTTCCCAAGCAGTGGCTTATCGAACTTATGGGGGCAAGGCATGGTGGAAGTACGATGAGCAGTTTTGCCAATGGTTGTCAGCTAATCCTGGTATGCGGTGGGACCAGATGGACCTACCACTTTGGATGAAGTTGATGATGGCGCAGAAAACTGCGCCCTTTCAGGGCAGGGCCGGCGCGGGATCTACCTCCTCTTCGTCGGCCAGTCAGAAGAAATGGTTCTGTTGGTCGTTCAATGAAGGGTAATGCAAGTGGGGTGCTGCGTTTAAATTTCGGCACGAATGTTCCGGCTGCGGGGGAGCCCACGACCTCAATATGTGCTTCAAGCAGGGAAAGTCTACACCTGCTGGCGGAGCCGGGGGTACGGGGGCGCCGGCCTCTTCCACGCCAGTGAAGGTCGACGTGATGTTGCCTTGGCTAAGCCGGTACAGTAACCGGGCAGATGCACAACTGTTTGATAGATGGGTTTTCCAAGGGGTTTTGTGTTCGGTCTAAAGAAAGGGTTCTGGGTCAATTGTGTGACAACTTGAAGTCGGTTGCTGAGCACCCGGAGGTGGTTCGGGATAAATTGGCCAAGGAGGTTCAGCTGGGTAGGATGGCAGGGCTGTTCTCCTACCCTCCGTTGGATGATTTACGGATTTCTCCTTTGGGTGTAGTGCCCAAGAAGGAACCGGGTAATTGTCTGATCCACCATCTGTCATATCCGAAGGGCTCTTTGGTAAATTATGACATTGATGAGGTACTGTGTTCTGTCTCTTACGCATCATTTGACCAGGCGGTCGAGTTGGTTAGGAAGGCAGGACATGGAGCATTAATGACAAAGTGGAGTCGGCTTTTCGATTATTGCCGATCAATCTGGATTGTCACCATCTGTTAGGTTGCATGTTCGATGGAGCTTATTTTGTGGACCTCTGCTTGCCCATGGGCTGCTCCATTTCATGTTCATACTTAGAGAAGTTTAGTTCCTTCTTGGAGTGGGTGGTGAAGGAGGAATCAGGAGGGGGTTCCTTAGTACATTATCTCGATGACTTCTTGTCTGTGAACATGGCCGGGTCAGAACGTTGTGGCCATACCTTATGGTCGCTGGAATGGGTGGCTCATTCCTTTGGTGTGCCCCTGGCATCTGACAAAACGGTGGGTCCTACCACATGTCTTAGTTTTCTTGGGTTGGAAATTGATTCGGTGGTAGGAGAATGTCGACTTCCAAGGGATAAGTTGGCCGCACTTCGGGAGCTTGTGGCGAAAGTCTGCAGGTCCAAGAAGGTTACACTGAGAGAATTGCAGTCTTTAATAGGCAGTCTCAATTTTGCATGTCGGGTAATCCCCATGGGAAGAGTTTTTAGACGTTTTCTGGCAAAGGCTACTTGTGGAGTTCGGTCTCCGCGTCACTTTGTCAGAGTGTCGCGGGCCATGAAAGAAGATCTGGGGGTCTGGGAATCGTTTCTGCATGATTTCAATGGAAGGGTCTTCTTTTGTGAAGGTACAGCTTCTTCAGATGATATTGAGTTGTTCACGGATGCTTCTGGAAGCATAGGTTTTGGGGCATATTTGGAGGGAAGGTGGTGCGCTGAGCATTGGCCTGAGGCTTGGAAATTTGGCATTTCGTGAGTTGTTTCCATTGGTGGTAGCCTTGGCCCTATGAGGAGAAGTAGTACGGGACAGAAAAGTCATCTTTTTTACAAACAATATGGCGGTGGTTCATGCGGTTAACCTGGGGTGTCCCAGTCAAGGGAAGGGCGTTTGGATACCTTGTCGTGGTTTTTATGCCGCTTGTTTGCTAAGCGTTTATCTCCATCGGTGATCGACAGGAACATGGCGGCGTTGGCGTTTTTGTTCAAACTGAACGGTTGGGATGACATGACGAAACATTTTATTGTTTGTCAGGCATTACGGGGCTTTCGCTGAGGTAAGAAATCTGCCGATACCAGGCGGACGGTTTCTTTTTAACTACTGCAGCGCTTGGTGGGCGTGCTGCCGGTGGTGTGTTCTTCTCTTTTTGAGGTTAGGTTGTTTTCGGTGGCCTTCTCGTGGGTGTTCTTTGGGGAATTTCGGATTGGTGAGCTGGTGAGTGCCTCTCGGGTGGGTGTTGGGAGGGTTTTACACTTGGATGTTGAATTATGGTCAGATAAGGTAATGATTAAGTTGGGCCGTACAAAAACGGATGTGTTTGGGAAAGGTTGTGTGGTAATGCTATATTCCCTGCCTGGGTCAGTGGTATGCCGGATTTCATGTGCATCGCACTACATGGAGCTTCGCACGGACATACTTTTTGGTACATGGGGACGGATCGGCTCTGCCGCGATTCCAATTCCGTTGGGTTTTTCGGATGGGCTTGACAATGTTGGGTTTGGATCCCATGCACTTTGGGACCCATTCTTTCCGGATAGGGGCGGCGACAGAGGCGCCCCGCCTGGGTTTAAGTGAGGATCTGGTGAAACGTATAGGCAGGTGGGAGTCAGTACGGTTTAAGTCCTACTTACGGCCTGAATATTTTGTTTATGGATATGGATTTATGGGGTTGTGTTTGGTGCTATGCCTTGTCACTAATTACATTTTCATTTCAGGTTGGGTGGCCTGATTGGTGGGCCACTCTTACATCTACTGGGCACAGAAGAGAGCCGGGGTTCAGAGACAAGGAGTGCAGCTGGCCTTTCTTCTGGAATTGGTGAAGCTGGAGTGGTTTGGCATTAGAGGGGAAATTTTCCGGAGGGTGGCAAGGGGTACTGTTCCGGACATATTGGTAATCCACGGTGGGAATGCTGGTGGGAATGATATGGGCATGGTCCCAAAAAAGGAATTGGTCAGGTGGATGAAGAGAGATGTGGACCGGCTACGGGAGCTGGCTCCAGGTGTGGTGGTGGTGTGGTCCGAGATGGTTCCTCGGTGTCAGGGGCAAATTTATGTATTTATCAGACGTATGGGTGGTGTAGCAGTGAGACACAGTGAATTGGAAGGCAGGCTTCCTGGGTACTTCAGGAGGGATAAGGTACATTTTTCGGTGGTGGTGTTACATAGTTACATAGTTACATAGCTGAAAAGAGACTTGCGTCCATCAAGTTCAGCCTTCCTCACATTTGTTTTTTGCTGTTGATCCAAAAGAAGGCAAAAAAACCCAGTTTGAAGCACAATTTTGCAACAAGCTAGGAAAAAAATTCCTTCTTGACCCCAGAATGGCAGTCAGATTTATCCTTGGATCAAGCAGTTATTACCCTACATTGAAAGATTATATCCTTGAATATTCTGTTCTTGCAAGTATGCATCTAGTAGCCGTTTGAACATCTGTATGGACTCTGATAAAACCACTTCTTCAGGCAGAGAATTCCACATCCTGATTGTTCTTACAGTAAAAAAACCTTTCCTTTGCCTTAGACGAAATCTTCTTTCTTCCAGTCTAAACGCATGACCTCGTGTCCTATGTAAAGTCCGGTTTGTGAATAGATTTCCACACAATGGTTTGTATTGGCCCCGAATATATTTGTATAATGTTATCATATCCCTCTCAGGCGACGTTTTTCTAAACTAAATAGGTTTAAATTTGTTAACCTTTCTTCATAGCCTGATATGTTCCATTCCTTTTATTAATTTTGTAGCCCGCCTCTGCACTTTTTCTAGTGCCATAATATCCTTCTTTAGAACAGGTGCCCAAAATTGCACAGCATATTCAATATGGGGTCTTACCAGTGATTTATAAAGAGGCAAAATTATATTCTTGTCCCGAGAATGAATGCCCTTTTTCATGCATGACAATACCTTACTGGCCTTGGCCACTGCTGATTGACATTGCACATTGTTGCATAGTTTGTTGTCTATAACAATTCCCAAGTATATTTAATTTGGGCCTTCAGGAGGGCATTCAGCAGGCCTTATTCCGGTGTGAGGGGGGTCGCTCTGGAGCTTTAGGTGTCAAGTCCTGAGCTGTGGCGGAGAATAGCCAGGTTAAATCGGGGGATAGATGGAAGAGAAAGTGAGCATCCTGAGGTTTAGTGTGGATTAGGCAGTGTTACACATGGTTGGTAGGTACGAGCCCATCGGTGGCTCCAAACCTCGGGGTGTAGTGGTGTCTGGGTACACCCTGCACTACAACTTGGGGGTAGCGGTGTCTTGGTACACCCCTACAATCGATATGGTGGGTAGCGGTGTCTCGGTACACCTCTACAATTTAATCTGGTGGAAATGTGGTCATATTGGACTGCCAGTTTCTGTGTTAACATGTTATTTAGATTGTTATCTATTTTTATTATTGTGGGGTCATTGCTAGGGGTATGTTATGTATATGGGAGGATGTTGACTTTAATAAGATTTACTGGCAATGACCCCATTTGTTATGCTTTAATTATTTAATTAATAATTAATAAAGCTGTGATCTAATATTTCCAACAGTATAACCTGTGTCCGTGTCTTAAAGGGGGTTTGGGTAAGGTTAGCGCATATGCCGGCAAATCCGACTGTGCACCTGTCATGTAGCTTTATTGAGATTGCATTATTATCACAACTCACTATCGTAGGTCATTATGTGATATTTGGCAGCCACATCTTTCCTTTTAATCTCTCTACTTTGATTAGGTTATGGCAAAATAATTAAATTATGTTCCCTATGGACCTATATTGGTTAGTCTTTTGTAGACATACCCAAGCCCAGCTATGCACTAAAGAGAAGAGGGTCAGCCCTCCCACCAGAGCAGGCACGTTCCTTGGGGAGGTGCCACACGGAAGATGCCTGATCTGTGGCTGTGCTCTGTGTGCTTGCAGTGCGAGCACTGAGGAGGCTTCTGGGATAACTCAGCACCTATTTCCTTAGCACGTTTCGGGCAATAGCCCTTTATCAATAAAGGGCTATTGCCCAAAACTTTTGTTTTATATATTGTCCTTCTGAAATTAAAGATGCAGCACCAGGGGGTGAACTTCAAATTCAAGCTGCGCAAGACTCCTATCTTTTTTCCTGTTTGGCTATTACACACTGTTGGAACTGCAGTGTGGAGATATTACTGCACAGTGAAGACCCTTTTTGTTCATATTGAAATTTGTGTAGGCAGACAGTTTGCCTCTACCTTATTCATTCATATAGATGTTTAAACAGCAATTTGATAAATACTTGCAAAACACAACATACAGTTACTAATTAGTGGGATAATAGCTGCTTGATCCAAGGAGACATCTGACCACCATTTTGGGGTCCAGAATGAATTTTTCCTAGTTTGTTGCAAAATTGGAAGCGCTTCAGACTGGGTTTTTTGATGGACGCCAGTCTCTTTTCAGCCTATGTAACTATGTAACTATGCTCTGAGCAATGTTCTGCTGGGAAACCTTGGGTATGGGTGTTACTTTGACATGCACCATTTACCTAGAGATTGTAGCAGACTACATACACCCCTTCAGGGTAATAGTGTTCCCTGATGGCAATAGTCGCTTTCAGCAGGATAATGCACCCTGCCACACTGCAAAAATCGAGAAATGGTTTGAGAAACATGACAGAGTTCAAGGTGTTGCCCTGGCCTCAAAGTTTCCCAGATCTCAATCCAATTGACCATCTGTGGGATGTGCTGGAACGACAAATCTGATCTATGGAAGCCCCACCTCGAAACCTGCAGGACTTAAAGGATCTGTCTATGCGTCAACACATCAGCGCTGCTTTGGCAGCACTAGGGTGACCTACATGATATTAGACCGGTGGTTTTAATGTTGTGACTGATCAGTGTATGTTTCTGTATTTGCTTGTGTATCAATGTATGTGTCTCAGTATATGTGTCCATGTGTGTACATTAATATAAGTATGTGTGAATATGCATTTGTATGTATATGAATGTTAGAATGTGCATGTAATTTTGCTCATAAAATGAATTTTAAGATGATGCAGTGAGAGACTTTTTTTTTACCATGGTGGTGTGGTAGTTGTCAAAACAAATTTTTTTACCTACCAGAATTCTGCAAGATGAGGAAGTTTTCGTTTTAACGAACTAATATTAACAAAGCTAAATACACAAAAATTCTAAAAATTCTAGGTTGATGTATTTTTCCTTTAAATACACTCCATTTCTTAGCCATGTACGACAAGTTGCACACGTTGATAGAAATAATAAGTAACGGTGATATAATTGTTTGAAATGGTGCACTTTTAATAACCTTTCTGAAAACAAGGGACCTAGTGCTACATGGCTGCAGGGAACCATCTGTTATGTATCTAGATAGACAGGGATAAGCAATCTCCGACTCTCCAGATGTTTTCTTGTATAATTCTTGCTTAGCTAATCCAGTCAGCCGATCCTGAAAGCACCTGAATTACCAGTGTATGCCTATTTACCTTTCTGTCTGTGCTGTACAGTATTGAATTGTGACTTAGGACAGGTATTTTAAGGTTCCTCAGTGCTCTGCTGGAATGCTGCTTCTTGGGGGAATGGTAGGATAATAAATGCTGTGCATTTCAGTATTCCATTGCTTCACCGCTTCGTTACAAGGTGCTAGTTAGGCAAGCCTTAATATCTAACATAACAGTCCTTTCAGGGATTAAAAAAGTTCCAGTATTCTACAGCAAATAAATGATTTTGCAAATCAACAGAAAAGGAAATTTAGAATGCAAAGGGCCCATTTAACTTTCACTTCTGAATGGCGTCCCTGTCATACAGTGAGGCCTATTGTACACAGATATTTTGTAAAATACTTACTGCCAATTGGTGGTTATTCCCTAAACTGAGAATGTAAGACCAAAACAAATTTTCAGTTCTCTTGTGAATTTCCCACAATTCCTGGCTGCTGGTAACTAACCCAGCATGCATTTTTGTTCCTTGTAGTTCAGCAGTTCAGCAGGATCATCATGTCTACACTATAATGACTTTAATCTCTCAATTTCCCAATCTAAAGTGATAACGTTCAACTACTTTCAACTCTGACTTACAGCCTGTAGGAACAGGTGTCCACGATGCC